AGTAATAAACTCCTTCAATCAGTGACACGAAACAGTAACAGTTGTTAACAGGATTGTCTAGTAATAAACTCCTTCAATCAGTGACACGATACAGAAACAGTTGTTAACAGGATTGTCTAGTAATAAACTCCTTAAATTAGTGACACGATACAGAAACAGTTGTTAACAAGATTGTCTAGTAATAAACTCCTTAAATCAGTGACATGATACAGTAACATAACATAACAGGATTGTGTAGTAATATGCTCTTAAAATCAGTGACACGGTACAGTAACAGTTGTTAACAGAATTGTTAAGTAATGAACTACATGATTAATAGAGGAGGAGAAAGAATTAGGAAAATGTTAAGAAGGAATAGAAACTCTAAAGTAATATGTGAACTTTAGGTGTCGCCCCCTACTGGCGCAGTGATAAATCTGAAAGCTTATCGAGCTAAAATCTGGGTTTTCATGCTCGTAGTTGGCACAGATGGCACATTATTTAGATCTCTATAACATCTGTTTAACTTTCAAACTTTTCATTATTGTTTATCATTTTGTGGTTAATTTTTCCCCAATAGTTTTCAGTTACTTGGTAGTTAGCTATACTTCTTCTGAAATTTTGTTGTTGTTTTTTAATAATTTTTCGTGTTCGTATTTGTTCTTTGTACCCAGTTATTTTAGCTAATATGCTTCCTATATCTGCCCTATCAATCAGTTTGTTCTAATTTAGAGTTTACGTCATATTTGGCACCCTTCACAACGAACCCGTTAAGGATGGACTAGTTTAAATATGATGTTACTAAATATCGCATGATTAACTTCTCATTCATCCTGAGTTCATCCCTTGGGATCAAGGTCAAAGATATTGAAGATTTTTCTCGCTTATTTTGTTGTTTTTGAATGCTGAATAAGGTAAATAACGTTTGGTAGTGATGTACATGAAATATTGATATTTGTGTTTAACAAAGACGCCGAGAAAAGTACTGCTGATCCTAAATCTGGGAGACATAGTGTTCATCTTAACAGGCTATCTTCAGACTGGAAACATAGTGTTGTTTTTAACCGGCTATCTTCAGACTGGAGAAATAGTATTCATCTTAACAGGCTATCTTCAGACTGGAGACATAGTGTTCATCTTAACAGGCTATCTTCAGACTGGAAACATAGTGTTGTTTTTAACCGGCTATCTTCAGACTGGAAACATAGTGTTCATCTTAACCGGCTATCTTCAGACTGGAAACATAGTGTTGTTTTTAACGGGCTATTTTAACAATGGAAGCATAAGTGTTGTTTTTAACATGCTATTTTCAGACTGGAAACATAGTGTTGTTTTTAACGGGCTATCTTAAAAATGGAAATATAACTGTTGTTTTTAACAGGTTATCTTAACAATGTTGTTGTTGTTTGTAATTAAGCACAAAGCTACACAATGGGCTATCTGTGCTCTGTCCACCACGGGTATCGAAACCCGGATTCTAGCGTTGTAAGTCTGCAGACATACCGCTATGCCACTGGGGGGGATATCTTAACAATGGAAAATAGTGTTGATTTTAACAGGCTATTTTAACAATGGAAGCATAAGTGTTGTTTTTAACATGCTATCTTCAGACTGGAAACATAGTGTTGTTTTTAACAGGCTATCTTAACAATAGAAAATAGTGTTGTTTTTAACAGGTTATCTTAACAATGGAAAATAGTGTTGTTTTTAACAGGTTATCTTAACAATGGAAAATAGTGTTGTTTTTAACAGGTTATCTTAACAATGAATGGTATATGGTTATCTTCACACTGGTAGAATAGCGTTATTTTAACAAACTATCTCAACACTGAGATAAATGATAAATGTTCTGTTCTTAACAGTTACAATACACACATAATACGAGGACGTTTCTCAGCTAAAACACATAAACATAAAAGATGAGAATGTGTTAGACAGCTACAACACATAGACTTAAAAGATGAGAATGTGTTAGACAGCTACAACACATAGACTTAAAAGATGAGAATGTGTTGGACAGCTACAACACATAGACTTAAAAGATGAGAACGTGTTGGATAGCTACAACACATAGACATAAAATATGAGAACGTGTTGGACAGCTAAAACACATAAACATAAAAGATGAGAACGTGTTAAACAGCTACAACACATAGACTTAAAAGATGAGAACGTGTTGGATAGCTACAACACATAGACATAAAATATGAGAACGTGTTGGACAGCTAAAACACATAAACATAAAAGATGAGAACGTGTTGGACAGCTACAACACATAGACTTAAAAGATGAGAACGTGTTGGACAGCTACAACACATACGCAGATTATAACGTGTTAGACAGCTACAACACACACAGAGATTATAATGTGTTAGACAGCTACAACACACACAGATATTATAATGTGTCAAACAGCTACAACACATACACAGGTTATAATCTGTTAGACAGCTACAACACACAAAGAGATTATAATGTGTTAGACAGCTACAACACACACATAGATTATAAGATGGCTGTAAGAACTTATATGTTTCACCATTAGGACAGGCGACCATCCTACATCCACCCAAGGTGGTTGTAAGAGCTTACCTGGATCATCGTTAGGACAGACGACCATCCTACGTCCAGCTAAGATGGCTGTAAGAACTTACCTGATTCAATATTAAGGCAGGTGAGTGGAAGAAAAACAGACAACCACCAGAGCAGGAAAAAGAAGCGTTTTGAGACGGATAAGAAACTTTGTATCTTCATAATTGCTTCAGCTGTTTATTAAAGAAGAAAAATTACAAATTAAAATCACCGTCTTTCTGTAATTAGATAATATCTATATAATTTCAGTAAAATCACCGTCTTTCTGTAATTAGATAATATCTATATAATTTCGGTAAAATCACCGTAGTTTTCTAATTAGGTAATATCTATATAATTTCAGAAAGACGGTGATTTTACTGAAATTATATAGATATTATCTAATTACAGAAAGACGGTGATTTTACCGAAATTATATAGATATTATCTAATTACCAGTAAAATCACCGTCTTTCTGTAATTAGATAATATCTATATAATTTCAGTAAAATCACCGTCTTTCTGTAATTAGATAATATCTATATAATTTCAGTAAAATCACCGTCTTTCTGTAATTAGATAATATCTATATAATTTCGGTAAAATCACCGTAGTTTTCTAAAATTAGATAATATCTATATAATTTCAGTAAAATTACCGTCTTTCTGTAATTAAATAATATCTATATAATTTCAGTAAAATCACCATCTTTCTGTAATTTGATAATATCTATATAATTTCAGTAAAATCACCGTCTTTCTGTAATTAGATAATATCTATATAATTTCAGTAAAATCACCATCTTTCTGTAATTTGATAATATCTATATAATTTCAGTAAAATCACCGTCTTTCTGTAATTAGATAATATCTATATAATTTCAGTAAAATTAACGTCTTTCTGTAATTAGATAATATCTATATAATTTCAGTAATATTTGACTAATTTCGTCTATCAATATTAGTTTCCCAAACATTGCAGTACCATACATAGTTAAACGTCCAATAGGTATGTACTTCCAAATATCATTACAACGAGTGCTCGAGTTGTAGCCCGGGAAATAAATAAAGTGCTCACTATACTCACTAAACACATAATTAGCGCATAAATCAAAATTAAGATTTAAAAATCACTTTCAATAAAACAACATTAAATGGGAACTACAAACCAACTTTATCAGTGGTTGATAGTGAGAGTATTTGGCAACTTTAACTATACGTACGAATCTCTCTCTACTTAGCTAAGTCAGAAAGTGAAATCTCAATCTCAACCCCCCCCCCCCCCGCGTGTGTATGATGTTACTAGCAATAAACCAAAACTGGTATTTATTATAACAATTGGAACTTTCGGTTCAAGTCACAACTAAAATTAGGGATCAATACGCCTCAACCCGTTCCCTCTCAGTCTAAAACTAGCCATTACGACGTCCCACTACATTCCTATCCATTTCAAGCCCTGACTAAAACTATCCATCGATATGTCCCACCACATTCCCACCCATTTCTAGCCCTGACTAAAACTATTCATCAGTATGTCCCACCGCATTCCCTCTCAGTTCGAGTCATGTCTAAAACTAGCCATCAGTATGTCCCACCACATTCCCACCCATTTCTAGCCCTGACTAAAACTATCCATCGGTATGTCCCACCGCATTCCCTCTCAGTTCGAGTCATGTCTAAAACTAGCCATCAGTATGTCCCACCACATTCCCACCCATTTCTAGCCCTGACTAAAACTATTCATCGATATGTCCCACCACGTTCCCCCTCAGTTCGAGTCATGTCTAAAGTTATCCATCATCACGTCCCACCCATTTCAAGCCCTGACTAAAACTATCCATCAGTACGTCCCACCACGTTCCCTCTCAGTTCGAGTCATGTCTAAAGTTATCCATCATCACGTCCCACCCATTTCTAGCCCTGACTAAAACTATCCATCAGTACGTCCCACCACGTTCCCTCTCAGTTCGAGTCATGTCTAAAGTTATCCATCATCACGTCCCACCCATTTCTAGCCCTGACTAAAACTATTCATCGATATGTCCCACCACGTTCCCTCTCAGTTCGAGTCATGTCTAAAACTTGCCATCATTAGCTCTATCTGCCTGGGCATCCTTTACTGAGCATATCACGAGGTTTTAGCATTTTACATTCAGAATTTTATTAAACTACTTTATGTTTATGTTATAACAATTAGTATAGAATAAAATCTTAGCTAATAATCCATATTTTAATAATATATAAGTTTTAAGTTCTTAATTTTAAAAGGCAATATTTTTAAAAAATCCTGAATTTCCCCTAGTGTGAGAAAGGTGACACATTTTCTGTAGGCATGCCATCTTCTCTATTTTATTCACCGCCCCTCCAATAAGTACGAAATTTAACGTAAATTAGTCACAATAAAATCGCCATTGCTCGGACTAAACATAATTTTTATAGCTTCGATTTTGTTTGGTTACAGAGCCATCAAATAAGAAACCAGACCCCTCTTTCCACACCCATCTGTCACATCCTCTCTTTCAGGATTTGTTAATAGTTCTCTCTTACGTTTAATTCTATATTATCTTAACCAAGATTTTCAACTATCAAATGACATATCATGTTACATTGTGTTCACAACAGATAATTGTCAATTTTTCTGTTAGTATAAGCTTCGTTCCCACGAAAAAGATGACGAATGACTTGGGTGAATTTGTAACGGCTCTTATCTTTTTGTGTGTTATTATTCTATGTTCTTTGGTGCATTGTTTAATTAAATAAATTTCTCTGTTAGTATAAGCTTCGTTCCCACGGAAAAGATGACGAATGACTTGGGTGAATTTGTAACGGCTCTTATCTTTTTGTGTGTTATTATTCTATGTTCTTTGGTGCATTGTTTAATTAAATAAAAATTATTTTGTGCATTACTACCATTAGTATAAAAGTAGGATTAAGTGTCATCGACATTTGACAGCAAAAAGAATTAGACACAGGTAAGTACTTTATTTCATATTTATTATTATAAAAGTAACTAACATGTAACAAGAGTGATTTCTTTAAGTTTAGATAATAATAATAATATAAAAATGTTTCCGAGGTAGCATGTGAGCTGCTTGTTGGTAAGGTAATTCGATAGGGTAACGTGAGCTGCACGTTCCTAAGTAATTTACAAATGATAATGGCGCGAATACTTGTTAAACTTGGTTCAAAGGGCAATAAAACAATAAAATTTAATTATAATTAGATGTATATTGTTACGAGTTTAAAGATACTTCGGATAAAGGAAAGTAGTTTCATGTTATAACCTGAAGTCATTCCAGAAAGAAAAAGCGGATAATTTAGCTTTATTTAGATTTTTTTGAAAAAAATCTTGTATAGAGTTAGGGTATATAAAATAACATAAAAAAAAGGTTTTACTAAAAACAAACATTTGAAATGTATTTATGAGGTTTTAGAGATAACACAAATGAAATTTGAGATTTTTGAGATGAAGAAAACTATTTTTAATCTTAACATAAAAATTACTTTGCACATGTTATTATTCAAAACAAATACTCGACATATTCACAGACAAATCTTTTTTTAGTTCATTAAAAATACTTCACTAAAAATATGATTTTATTTATGTGAAAAACTTATAATGTTAACTGAAAGGCTGCCAAATTTCGTGAAGATATACACAGTATATTAAAAGTTAGCATATCAAATCTATAAAGACTTTAAACGAGTACAAAGAGGTCACGTGGTCGGTCAAATTGACAGAGCCCGTATGGAGAGTGTTATGCCCTACCCTAGTTTATGCCCTTCAGGGGCACAGCGCATGTTTCAATACTAATGGTGGACCTAGCACAAATAACTTTGAACGACAAAAAATGTATAAAACTCAAGTAATTCAGGGTAATTCGATGACGAGGAACCCACTTTGAGACTAATAATGGCTGGAGACGGCTTGAATGGGTAATGAAGAAAAACTTTAATATAACAGCAAATGTACAACGTTTCGACAGTACAGTACAGTAAATGTACAACGTTTACATAAACTTATCAGATTATGTATTCTTAGATGCAATTTCAGTGAATAAATTAAGTTATTAAAGAAAATGTTATTTTTACGAAATGTAGAATATTTTGAATAAATCTATGATAGTTCCAAAAGTGATAAGTAATTTTCAACATGATGTTTAGAATGGGCTTCATCAAATTACTCGGTATTTTTGTTAGTAGCAGAGAAATGTTTTTGTTGTCCACTGTAATCCATTGTGTAGCCTTGTACTTAACTACGGACAAACAAACCCTACTTCTTCCTCATTTTAAACATTAAATCAATCTAGCTACCAATACGATTACGAGGCGGTGTGTGGTCAGTTTGAAAACCGACAACATACAACATTAATACTAACCTAGGATGTCTTATTAAAATAGTTTACTATCTTTATGGATATATCCTGTTGGATTGAAAATATTCTTTGCGTAGTTTTAGTTAAATTAGAATGACAAGTAAATCTGTACTCACCTACGAGTAGATGACATGACAAGTAAATATATACTCACCTACGAGTAGATGACATGACAAGTAAATCTGTACTCACCTACGAGTAGATGACATGATAAGTAAATCTGTACTCACCTACGAGTAGATGACATGACAAGTAAATCTGTACTCACCTACGAGTAGATGACATGACAAGTAAATCTGTACTCACCTACGAGTAGATGACATGACAAGTAAATCTGTACTCACCTACGAGTAGTTGACATGATAAGTAAATCTGTACTCACCTACGAGTAGAGCTCTAAACCAGATCAAGCTGATGATTTTCACAACTTCTTATGAACGGTATGGTGTTCTCTCTAATATAGAGACGAACTAATAAAAACAAGCCGTGTCCTTGGACTAACAGAACTAGGTCATAACGAATAGGAATAAGTGGCAAAAGGATAAGGTCAGGAAATTAACACGGAAGTAAGCATTGATAAAAGGACGTCATTGGTCACGTGCTCGGTATCAAATACAAACATTTTAATTGCCAGGATCTATTCATGGCTTCCTCTGTTTATCACGTGCTTTATTGTAGTCATTAGTATGGCTACCGGCTATGAAATGAAAAGAAAAAAAATTCTTAATACTCATTTGTTATT